TATTCACTAAATCTAAACACACTTGCTTATTTGATAATTCAACTCAAAGGACTAGAGAATTTCAGTAACTCAGTGTCTACATTAAAATATAGACAATTACAACTTCAAAGAGGATAACGATTTCAAAATGGGCAGGGCATGCCATACTTTCAAAAACAGTGGAGAAGAGTAATTCCTTGAATGTCAGACAACAGGCTGTGAAAAATACCTTACTATAATAGAATCTGAGGTGAAACATGATTTGTCACTGTACATCCAAACAAATGTGAAATGAGAAATTCAGGGGTAAACATAAAGAAAATTAAGGGATACAAACAAGAAAAAGAACTAAACCAAAACAACATCCAAGGCACAGTGAAGAATTAGTACAGTGAAATGACATGTGACATTGACTCTCGATGGATGCCCCAAGCATGAGAATGCAGTGCACAAGTCCCCGAGAAGGTCCAGCAAATACTACCTAGTGCACGCAACAACTGTCCTGCTGGTTGCAAGCCTCATCTAGCAGGTGCCTACTGTCCTCCCCTCTGTGCTGGCTTTCAGCAAATTCATATGCTGAGCCGACTGAACCCTTATCTTCTTCCATCTAGAAGGACAGAAAAGCGGTAAGTCTCATATTCAGAATAATACTCTCATTGTATAATTTAAAACCAAAGCAGTAAGTTGGGTCTACAATCTGAGGCATAGACAAAAGTTCACAAACAGCACAGTTACTGTCACAGGACAGAAGCCAAGGAGCTTCTTGGAGAATACAGCAAAGCATACCATATGAAGCCATGAGTGCAAAGCTCTTAGAAGCACACGGGCTAGTAAAAATCAAGTTTCCTTTAGTTAAATTCTATTTCTTCTGTGAAATGCAGAGCCACTAGGACTTAGCATTTATTTTCTCACCCTTACACAATCATCTTAGGATACTGCTCTACTTTTAACTGGACTGTAGAGCAGAAGGGTCATGTGACCTATAAACAGTACATGTGAAAAGGAGTTGTGATTTACTTGTTAATAAAATTAAATTGAAATATTTCTCTTGGAATACTTTTTAAAAAGATTTATCTTTTTTTTTTTTTTAAAGTGTATGAGTGTTTTTTGCCTGCATGCATGTATGAGCCTTGTGCCTGTCGAGGTCAGAGGATGGTTTTTGGATCCCCTGAAAGTGGAGTTACACATGGTTGTGAGATGCCATGTGGGTGCTGGGAATGGAACCTACGTCCTCTGAAGAACAGTGACAGTGTTCTTAACCACTGCACCATCTCTATAGCCTAGGGAAGGTCAACTTACTTTTGTCTGGCTTTGGTTGTAGACGGTATCTTCTTTTTGTTTTTCTTTGTTGCTAACTTTAAGTTAACAGCATAAAACCTCCATGTGCTACGTACAAACCTAGAATCCTAGGAAGGTAGATGTGTTGGGATGTGTATGGTGCAGTGAGTGTGGTCCCCACACCCAGGCCAGCTGTCGGGAGAACAGTAATTCCTCCTCTGTGACACCTGATCCAAAGATCCTGCATTCATGGTAAACTTTCAGAATGAGAATGTTAATCTTACTAGTTTATTACAATATATAATACCTGGGATTTCTATAGTTGGCTTTCCTCATTCTTTTATGTCTAGTATTAGTTTTTAAAAGGGGCTTGATTTACACCAATACATGTAAAACTACAAATTCCTAACAATATAATCAATCACAATGCAAGTTATTAATTAATCACAATGCAAGTTATCTTCCCTTATCTAGAGCTGTCCAGTGTTCTCTTATATAACAAATTATCCTACTGGCAGAGTTAAAAGACTAGACCCTCAAATATGTGATAGATAGTCACTGATTATAGAAAATCAGCTATTGATAAGAGTGGGATATACATATTTGCTCAACCAAAAGTAAAAACAAATTTTTACACTGAGTTTACTTCTTGGAAATATGAAAAACAGTTACCACTCATTTACAATACATAGTTACTGTGGTTGTCACTCAAAATTAAACATCTGAAAAAACTTAAAGCCAGTAATAAAAACATAAAAAGGTTAGTAAAACTTCAAAACACCTTTTAAATTATAAACTCATACTATATCACCTAAAAGGTTAAATAGCTTTATGTCATCGTTACTTATTTGATTACATAAATATACACAAATTAGACATTTGGATAATAAAAATAATTAAAACTATAAATAATTGTCAGGCTGGTTGCATATGCCTTTAATCCCAGCATTCACAAAGCAGAGGCAGGTGGATCTCTGTGAGTTTGAGGCCAGCCTGGTCTACATAGTGAGTTCCAGTCCAGCCAGAGACCCTGTCTCAAAACAAAAAACCAACCACTAACCAACCAATAAATGTGTGTGTGTGTGTACACATATTGACATGTTGCTGTATTATCAAGTTCTAGGATTTCAGCTTTCATTTCTTTCTATCAAAAGATATTTTGAGGCTAGTAGCTATTTTTTATAAACTTCCAAACTGGCATTGCTGTGGAGCTGTGGAGACACAGTTAACATAAGATGTACAAAATATATATTCCAATTTCTAGCTGCAGTAAAGCAGAGCAAGGATATGAGACACTCATGCAGCCACTACAGTGTACAAGACACACACGCACATGGGTTTGTAGTACAGATTACAGCAAGACAAAAGAACGAGCAATTCTCACTTCCAGGTAACTACTTAAACTCAAGTTTAAACTTTATGATAGCTTTTAAACTACTGAACATGCAGAGCATTCTTACATATGACTATGACAAGCAGAAGCATTAGAATTATGCTAGAAAAGATAGGTATAAAATATGTAACAAGGTACAGCTCTCTCCTCTTATGTTCAATTTCCATCTCAATTTTCTTCTGGAAGAATGGATATCATTTTTAAGTTTTAATATACATATTAATTAAGGTCAAATTCGAGACAGAGCTGTGAATGCTTGACTCGTTATTGATGCATCTGCCCATCTTTTGGCTATCATTTAGTTGACCTTTGGCATGCATAAGCGTTAACAAGGTTCTACTCCTACTCTACCTAAGTTTGCCCAGCTGATTCCTTGCCCTTGACAAAGGCTGCAGTGCGATGAACTCGTCACTTAAAGCCACTGTGTTGGAGTACATCTATAAGTGGACAGAAAAGGGATGGGACACACACAAGTCAGTGAGCTGAATTCATCACCTAGGAGACAGACACAGGACAAGCTTTGTAAATACCAAACACCTGTTCCCACAAGAGCAAGAAATACGCATGGTACACACACAAGTGATGTCTGTAGGATGTTGGCCTTGCCATAAGAAAAATTTACTGTTCACTTTTAAAAACATGCTTTTATTCTGGAGGAAAAAAAGGACTCAGAATAAGTGCTGGCAGCTCTCCTTTTGATGTGACTTTTCTTGCTATCTGGTAATGTAGGAGCGATCTCTCCATCATTTTCAATCAGAAGGAACAACAGAAGCTGAAATGATCACTGCTTATAGCAAAGGGATAATATTATCCTTGTGATATAAGTGACATATACTGTTCCAGTATTAAAAGAAGAGAAGAAACCCACAGATGACAGTAACAGGCAGGCCAGAAGACCCATGGAAGTAAAACGTTCCTTCCCTTCCCAAATGGGAGCTATCAGAACATCTCATTAATCATTTGGATATTAATTTACATAGCAAAAAGGGGAAATTATTCTGGTTTCACAAATGATAAAACAATTTAGCGTAAATTCCCTTCTTAATAAATTTTAACTTATGTTAAAACAAGTATATGGAGGATATTTCAATCTTTTTGTTTAAAAGCACAAAGCATCAAATATTTCCTCCATGTTACTTTAAAACAAGGATACAGAAAAGGTAACAATAAGTAATATCATACCTTTTAGATCAGTAAGTAATCTCTATGAAAATACATTTGAAGCTTTCAAACAATGGAACAATTAAGGACAAATGTAGATAAAGGTTAATATGATGTTACTCATAAGTTCTGAGAGGAAAAATAATACAGACCACTAGGTAAGACAGACTACCTCCATAAAAGTCTACAACGTGGATCTCGAACGACTGCAATGCACACCAACTTGTGCTGAGGAAATGAGTTCAGCTCCCAGCACCCACTTTGGGTGGTTCACAACCTCCTGCAGCTCCAACTCAAAGAGATACAGTGCCCTCTTCTTGTCTCCAAGGATACCAACATCCATGTGCACATAGTTCCCCACACATATACAAATAATTGAAAATAAAAAACAAAATATTTTATTTGAAAAGCCTAAGCAAGTATAATAAACATATTAAAAGCAATACTTTGACTATAAATATTTATTTCTGAATACTAAAAATAAGACACAGCTTTCTGATGTAGATTTAAATATGTTATAGAATGAAAGTCTGTCTGTGCTATGCACATAAACATTCATGCAGACATAGAGATCATGTAACTCTTTTCTTTTAGAAAGCATTATGACAGAGTAATACCTTCATTCTCACCATCTTATATTGCACCAAAATATACATTTAGTAGAATTATATTAACAAACTAAGTAATGAGAAATAAATGCTGATGTAAGCAATGAGCCATTTCTTTACCATTTACTGTGCTTAAACCTTCTTTCACTTAACCCTCACTGTAGAGGGAATGAAAGACATTTCAATCATAATTTTACCAATGAGGAAATTGTGGCAGATAAAACAGTATTGGTCCCCAAATATCATATTCTTAAGCACTGGCATACTGCTATGTCTACTGTAGTTTGGAGACACTGGCTACATACCTAGGTCATAGATGGGTGATGCAATAATATTACTGTCTAGAAATAACTTGGTAGTTTGACATTTAAAATTTTAAATTAATATACTTAAAATTATAATTACTATAATTACAATTATTAGCAACTATAAAATTAATAGAAAAATATGAAAAAATTAAAAGTATTGGAAACCTCTTTAATATAGGAATAGGTATTTTATAATATAAAAAAATGTGTAATTATAGTTACCAATCACTAACTGTTCTAACTAAAGAGTTACTGAGTATGAAGGATGCCTACCTGTGCCTTTTCTGTACTTGTAGGATGAAGCTGTCGATCAAACACTTTCTTCACAACATCAAGGAACAGACAAGTAACAACCATAAGGAGTATGGCAAACCAAGCTGACCCACTTGACAGGAGCTGAATAAATACAAAGTACATATTCTGGGAGCCCAAAAATGGCCTGCGAAGAAAGATAGTAGACTTATTAAAAGTGAACATTGGCTGTGTATAGTATCACATGCCGGTAGTATAAATACTTGCAAGACTATGCAGAAGAATCTTGAGTTTGAGGCCTCCATAGGGAGACACTGTTTTAGAAACAAGCAAAATAAAAACTCAAAGAGTTAGATCAAGACATCACCAAAACTCAAATAACTTAAAATAACAACTCTAAGAGTACCAGGGAATTTTTCTAAATTGAATCTGGAAGAACTTAAATAAACTAACACAATAAGCTGTGTTAAGATGTAAACTCCAGTTAAAGTATCTTACTAATTATACCTTTTTCCTAATAGGGAAATGGCAAGCTAGATTAACTAGATAACCCCAGTTTCTTGGCAAGTTATAAAAAGAACAGTGAAGAATAGACTAATGGAGACTATAGGAATAAGAAACCAAGAAATAAGTGTGTAAAAAATATTTTCTATTGGTTACCAAACAAACAAACAAACAAACAAACAATCTGGGCTAGAGATGGCTTCGTGGGTAAAACCCACGCTGCCCAAGCCTGACAACGTGAGTTCTCTTCCTGGAGCCCAGTAAAGGTAGAATGAGAGAACCCATGCTCTCAAGTTGCCCTCTGACATCCACATAAATGCTGGGGAACAGAGCCTGACACCCCAGCCCCAGCAACACCACCAGAACAACCTCCTGATTATCCAAATCAGACCAAAAACTAGGCTTTTCTTTATAAACACACTCAGGAACTCAGATCATGATATTATGAAGGTATTCTTTTTTCAGTTTTGTATATCTCAATTGTAAGAGACTTAGGAAAAAAATAGAAACGGAAAGGTTTACACAAAACAATATGCATAAGTGTGTTCTTTAATGATCCTTTTATGGAAATTGATGATCAATAGATTCAAGTTCTTTGTGCTTACCTTTAGAAAGTTTTGCCCTGGTAAATGGACCTAAGGTACAATAGACACATGCAATACATATGCTTTCATATATATATATATATGTATCAGTTGACCATCATTTACTAAAAAAATCTTAGGGAGGCATGAATTATTACTCTTAGAAAGAGTCTACTATGATTTACATTTAATGAAGGTGAAACTTTTGAGAGAGATGTTACCAACAAAAAGTTAACAGGTTTTATGACTTGTTGTATGAGTAAATAAGTAATTTAAAACTAATATTGTTAGTATAAAGACCATTTCTCTGAAGTCAGACCAATGGTTTACAGTCTAGCTTTCTTCTGGTTTTACTTTTGTGACCAAGAGACTCAGTTTTCATGTAGAAAAATGAAGACAACAGGATTATTATGAATATCAACTCAAAGGAATTAACTTATCACCATAATGTATAAAAACTATTATGAGCAGAATTTTGGTCATCAAGAAACTAATCACAATAAATGCTCATTATTGTTAAATCAACATAATTAAGACATAGTGTAGTCACTCACCAGAGAATCCCACCATAAAACAAAGAAAATATAAAATAAAATATAATGGATCCCCAGGTAACAAGATGGTTGATCCAAGTCCAGAAATGAGTTTCTAATGCCATCTAAAAAGAACAAACAAGTGTCTTATCAATATAAAATAACAGTTTACTTTAACTTGTCAATTATAGCTGTCTAAAAGCCCTGTGGCCTGGTTCCTTAGAAGACACACTATCAATGAAAGCGTCTTAGTAAGAAATGTTGGAATATTTTCTTTCTGTGGGAAAGAAGTATTGAAATGTCATGTGATGACAGACATTATCTCAACTCTATGGCTCAGAAAACCCCTAAGATGTTATTTTAGATGATATACAGTGAATCCAAACAGCAGTAATTTGTAACAAAAATTATAAGAAGCTTTCCAAAATGATGGATAAGAAGGAAAATTTTACAGCAAAATTTAAATAAATGCTTAAAATTTATTGAGACAATGTACTGTTGAAAAGCTAAAAGGGAAACTATATGTGTCTAGCTAAAAGATGGAGTGAGTGAAAAACACAGACCAAGTGCATACAGGTTTCTTATATGGTAGCATACCTTCACCGTGACTGTAATAACCATGACTGTGAAGACCAAAGTACCAAATGTCCAGTTTCCAAACATCTAAACACAAGGAACAGACTAATGTGTTAGTTAGCAACATAATGTTAACTCCACTATAAGGTAAAAGCAATCTTATTCTTTACAAAAAAGTATCTGAATTAACACCGATAGACACATGAACTCTGATGATATTAATAAAGTGACAAGGACAAAAATAACTGAAGCCTTATTGTGGTAACTATTCTGAACAGTGATCCTTTGGATAGAGATAAAACCAGAAATGTAAAGACGGTTCAGAATTCAGAATTTGTTTATCAAGACTGTTTTTACTTAGGATGATACAGTGTGCTGTTGTGTTCCTGTCCCCTTGTAAAAATGATAACATCTTGCTTGACTGCAGTTATTTTCTGAAATATTTCCAACTAGAAGTTATAATAGAACATTTGCTACAGTGCATCTGGAAAGAAAAATCTTAGTAAGGGAAAAAGAAAAAAATTAAACTTAAAACCAGTATCTGGAAAAAAAAAAAAAGATAATGGCCAATGGAACTATCCTGCAAAGGATTCCATGTAAATACTCCAAGTACTATCAGGTAGAAACACTCTTTTGGTCTTCAGAGTACAAGCTTACACATGCAAAATCCCAAAAGAAGATCAAGATCTTATTTCCATATTTAGACTCTAAGTATGCAAATTTTATGAATTTAACTTACAAAGCACTCATAATCTTAACACTCATTTAAACTTTACCTAAAGGCTGATTTGTTTTTAATGTATACATGTCTAGCAGCAATTACTTGACAAATTTACTGAAGCTCCCTGACTTTGACATCATTTGTAAAATGAGGGTAACTAACATTCAAAGTATGCAGAATGGACAGTTTCTGGTATATAAAAAGTGAATGGTAAATATACATTGCTTATTAATAATGGAACATCAATTTACATTCTTTTGAGGGTACCTTGTAGTCTTCCAAGAAGACACAGAATGTGGAAATCATACTGAACCTATGTTTATTTCTCACTTTTTTAGGTATGTGGACTTAGAGATTCCAAAAATCAACGGGCATGAACTAAAGTCCTAAGTGCCAGTCTCTCAGGACTACGGCGGCAAGTACTATGACTGCTAAAATCATGTGCCTAATCCTGAGGATCTGGTCTTACTTGAGGCATGCCATATTCTATTTCCCTAGAAAGGAGGGAGGCAGCATTTTGCCTGCAGAAGTCACACTGGGTGCTTCTTTTGGAGTGAGGAGTGAGCTCATGAAGACCAACTCTTCCCTCTCTTACATCCTCTTGCACTCAGCTGAGGCAGGGGCATTTGCGGGTTGGACTAAGAGAAAGTGATTTAAGTGTACATTCTTTTCAACATTATTAACATTTTCAAACATTTGTAAAACATTTTTTACCTGGCCATTTCCAAGCAGAGATGTATCCTTCCCCACTAGAAAGTAGGATCCAAAGAAGAAAATGAAGGCGTGGCTGAAACCCAGGACGGTCCAGTAAAGAAAAGCTTTAATGCTCAAGAGACGGTTTTTACTAATGTCCCTGCAATTATTTTTAAAAAGAAAAAGCAACATACTAGGATTCATTTTTAAACCATTAATTTAACTAATAATTTATGTAAGAATTTTAAGGTGGCTAAAAACATCAGCAAAAAGAATAAATTTACAAACCATTTCTAATAGCATATGTCTTGATAACAGCTCAGAATTCACATGATAAATTCAAATATCTTTTCATTTGATAATAAAACATGATGCAGGCATAGTACTTCAGTGTAACTGTGAGAAACTGATTATCTGTATTATAGTCTATTCTCATCCGGCCACACTGCCACGGTGATCTCTTTGGTAAGATACAAGCTGGGTTCAGCACCAAGGTTCCTCAGTATCTTCATTTCAGAAGTTAATTGTTATGAGGGTAACAGACTGCCCAGGGTATTCTGGTAAAGTAGAGTAAGCAATTCCTCACATAACTGGTTATGTTTGTATCTGGCACCTCTACAACCTCTGACAGTTTATGAAGACCATGGGCTGGTCCTGACAGGCTCTAAGATCACCTGGTTTGGGAGTTCTGGAAAAAGCAGGAACTACTGTCCTTCACTTGCACTTACCTTTGATTAGCACTCATAAATTATGTAATAATAAAATATAAACTAATTTTTATTATTAATATTTTTATTAACAACTGAATAACTACTCTTGTGTACAACAGCCCAGGGATGGAAGTGTTTATTCCTAAAAACACTGGAAATTTACTGAAAGTTTCTCTTTAACATGGAAAAACTTTAAACCATCCAACGATCATGCTTTTCACTACCAATACAAATCCAATAATGGACAATACATACCGATAGAGGGTAGGCTTGGTCTGTAATACATGTGGGTCTATATGTTGTTCCAAAAGACTATATATGAGAACAGGTAGGGAAGTAAAACAGATATTGTATAAAGTCAGGTACACGCTGTCATACAGTGTCTAAAAAGAGAAATAAATTGGAGAAATTTTGAGATTCTAAGTTATATATTCTATCACATATATAGTCATGAAAAATATTAAAAGTAAGTACCATAATTTTTCAAATTATACCAAAATACCTTTAAAAGAATTTCAATGAATAAACATGCTTTGTTTTAGAATAGAACCTATACTGTTCCTAGAGCTATGTTGTCTGGGAGGACTAAACGCTTTTTTTTTTCCACAGTATAGTAAACTGATTTCCACCTCAAGAATCTAAGTTGGTCAGTGTTGTGCAGGTTAACAGTTCTCCTACATGCATCCTCAGCTGCTGGGTAATTCTCTGATGGCTACACCTCCTCTCCCCCACCTTCCATCTTCTATATGGCTTACAGTTCTGAAACCTCTCTTTTTCCAAGAAGCTATTTTTTTTTAAAAAAATGGCTAAGTCCTTGGTGACATAATCGTCCTCTCAAGTGTTACAGTTGTTACTGCTGGTACTAATGCTTTACATCTTTTGCCTATGGTCCTATTGTCATTGTGCTGATTGGTTTTTGTCAACCTGACACAAATTAGACATATGTGAGAAAAGGAAAATTTTTAAAATTTTTATTTATGTATTTTTTAAATATAGAAATGCTTTGTCTGCATATACACCTGCATGCCAGAAAAGAGCACAGATCCTTTTATAGATGGTCATGAGCTACCATGTGGTTGATGGGAATTGAACTCAGGATCTCTGGAAGAGCAGCCAGTGTTTTTAACTGCTGAACCATCTCTCCCACCAGAGAAAAGGGAACCTTAATATAGACAATGCCTCCATACTAGTGGCCAGAAGTCAGTCTATGGATAATGCCTGACTAATGACCCAGACCACTGTGCACAGTGCCATCTCTGGGCAGGTGTTTCTGGGTTTTATTAGAAAGTAGGCAGAGCAACCATGAGTGAACAAGCCAATAAGCAGTGTTTCTCCATGGCTGTGCTTCACTTTCCTGCCTGAGTTCCTGCCCTGCCTTTGCTGAGAGGTGGAGTGTGACCTGAGAGGTATAAAGTGAAGCAAAACTTTCCTTCCGAGCTGCTTTGGCCATGGTGTTTTACCACAGAAATAGAAACCCTAATGATTAACCCTTATTATTACTGTCTCTTTAAAAAGCTTGTCAAAATGTATCAGGTTCCTATTGTCACATGGTCTGAAAGTATTTAATTCAGGTAAGCTACTGCTAGTAATCTATGTCTATGATGTGATTTCAAAGTTAAAGCTCTGTATTATAAATGAGGAAAAGGCAATTATAAAGAGGAATTAGTGATTTAACTTATAACTGAAGATCAAACAACTGTAGACAGCATTTTAAGATGCATAAGGAGCTATGTGAAAGTGTAATTATGGAAAGCTAGTTTTGAGGTGAGATTTATGTAATTCCTGTCCTAAATCACTAAGGTTCTCAGCAAATTTTTAAAACTTCCAGCTCAGGAAGTAAGTGAACCTGTAATACGTACTTGCTCTGACTTGGTATCAACTATACAGAAATACTACAAATAAATAAAGACATTTAGCAAGCTTGGGGATGTGAGTCCGTTGTTAGGAGTACCTGACTGGAGTTTACACTTAGCAATGCTGGAACTGGGCTGGTGGTGGATGGTGGTGGTGGGAAGTAGAGGCAGGAAGACCAGTTCATAGTCATCCCTGACTACACAGTGACAGGAAAGCATGGACTCCATAAAACCTTCCATGAACAGACAAATGAAGAATTAATGATTTAATGCTAATTTGAAAAGAGTCCACAATTAACATATATTTTGGTATTAATAAATACCAATACAAATTAAAGCCAGAATAAGTATTATGAATGCTAAGGTGGATTGAGTAACTAAATCTAATTCCTTGCAGGATCGAGACTTGAACACATTAACTTTCTGAATGGACAAACACAAACCTGTGTTTTACTTACTTGTTGAGAAAACAAACAGTAGAACTGATATAAAAACTGGGGTGTGATAAAGCACACATTCTGGAAAAAAAGATAGGAAGTGATTCAAACAGTGATGACTAAAGAAACAGACATCTTAACTGGTTACAAATGCCTAGAAAAAACATCGAAGTTGATACCAACTGCAATATGCATTTTCCCTAAGGACACATCCATGTAAAAATGAGAACACAGAATTCTCTCATTTTATTAAATCATATCTAGAAGCTGCTTAGAGAATCATAGAGATATTATAGTGAAAGTTCTTAGTTCCCATCATTTCTAAGCAGTAAAAGTTATATTTAAACTCTTAGTCCATAATATCATAGATATTACTATATGTAACAGTGGATCAAATTTCAGGGCTCTAAGAATTTTATACTGCCAAACTATTTAGAGCATGTAAGTGGAACTAGCACAGCATCCTACTATCTCAGTATTTCTCATATTACAAGTGAAGCAAGAAGGTAGAAGAGCACCACCCAGACCGTTCTACAGTAACCGTCTATCGTTCTCATCACAGGTGAAAGCCAGAACAGCAGGCTAAAGAAAACTGCCCCATAGTATACATACTTGTGTTCTATCATCTTACAACTATTAATTACAGGAACACATACAACATGAGATAGTCTGGTATGGTAAATGATTATTAGCAGGGACTCAAAACATGGATTCACTGAATCCCACCTTCCTTAAAAGGGATCCAATGAAAAAACAGTATTTCAATGTTATATTTAACATATATTATACAAATAGGCCCTCCATAACTGAGAGGCTTATGCATTTACTATCACAGGGCACCCTTAAAAACAAAAAAGATTAAGAACTCTGTGATGAATTCATGAAATTAATTTAATTAAATTTATTACTAAACAAACATAAAATAGCTTTAAGGAAATTAAATTTATTGTAGCTAAATTTGCCCAGAATAATAAATTTTAAGTATACATTTTGATGCCTGATAAATTCACATACCACAAAATTAGAGAACTTTCCCAAAAAGCAGGTGTTTGTGTGCTCGCTTGTTTTCGATATTTACTTATCATGTGTGTGAGAGAGACAGGGATAGAGAGCAGAGACTGAGAGAGGAAGCAAGTCTACATCATGCACATATGTGAAAGTCAGAGGACAACTGTAGTCATTCTCCACCTTCTACTATGGAGTTCTCGATCATGGGGCCCTAGGTTTGAACTCACGGTGTCTGGCTTGTTGGCACTGAACCCTCTCACTGACTCAGAAATGATTTTTTAAGCAATCCTATCATGTTGTGTCCAGTGGCAATCACTGATTTGCAGTCTGCCAGCAATAAATTTATTTATAAAATAGTTATTTTTGTTTAAAGAAGCTATTTTAAGAATAATTTGAATATTTGTAATATTCTTCATTGGAATTTCAAGTTAAAATATCAATAATTGATTCTTATAATCCAACAAAACTTACCTTATAAAAAAAATACTGTACAAGGGTAGCTATTCTAATATAATAAAAATGACCATGAACAAAAAGTAATTTGGAGAGAAATTTAAATCTAGCTACTGCATAGTCACTGTTTCTTGCAGCTTGCCTTCCTTCTTTACCCATGATTCCTGCAATAAAGAAGATGAGAAGGAATATTCACTGATAATCAAGGTGTAGTTTTTACAACACACACATATACACATACATATCACTCTGAATTATTTATAGTTGCTATAGCTGTACATAGGCACTAAATCCTAATATACAGCAGTTAGCAGCTATCCAAAAAGGGTATTCTATTTAAATATGTTTAATATAAACCTAGATACATATTAGACATGTAACATCAAATTTCAAAGGCATAGAAGAAAATAAATATACCATTGAAGTGTTCAGATCTAGCCGAGGCATCAACCATACACTGATGAGCACAAAGTGCTAAACTTTTTTAATGAGCACACGGCTCTAGGACATCTTTAAACTCACCAGTTTCAAAGATGCTAAAAAGACTAATAAAATTCAGGAATTTGAACCCAACAAAAAATAAGCACATTTTTAAACAATTTTAAGCTGTGGTATATAAGTGATGGTGCTTTTAAGGGTGGGAGTGGGTGGGTGGGTATGCACCCTAATAGAAGCAGGGGGAGGGGGAATGGGATAGGAGGTTTCTGGAGGGGGAAGGAGGGGAAACCGGGAAAGGGGATAACATTTGAAATGTAAATAAAGAAAATATCCATAAAAGAAAAGGAAAACAACAACCTTGTTTTCAGGGACTTTGTTCCCCCTGTCATATACAGTGATCTCTTCCTTACAGTCAACTACATTTCTTGGTGTGGTATTATGCTTCAAATGTCTTTTCATAACTCAAATAACAAAATTACTCATAAAAATTTCTTCTGTTACCTTTATGATCTTAAAGAATTACTTATATCTTCATTCCATCTAGAATTTGTTTTTATAAAGGTAGTAAAAAGACATACAACTTTCTTTTAATCAAAGTAACTTGCTGTTGCTTACTTATAGAAGCTTTAAGTCTTTCCTTTGCTATATGTTAAGCAATGTTTCCTTGTGTATGTGTGCATGTGTGTACACATGCTTGCTGATGTATGCAAGTAGTGGACAAAGCACCAGTATCACTTGACAGTGTATTCTGGCAAAGAGTCTCTTACTGAATCTGGGGCTTGCTGTTTCAGCTAAACGTAGCTGTGTGGAAAACCCCTGGAGTCAGTCTGGGTCTAGCCAAGTGCTGCTGCTTGAGTTCTATATAGATTTGCACTGTGGGTTGCTTTTATGTGGGCACTAGAGAGCTGAACTTAGCTGCTCAGCCTGCCTAGCCATCACTTCACGCAGCAGGCCATCTCCACAGCCCCCAAATCAGTTTTATATGCTTAGTATATAGTATAAAGTTATGTAAAATTACAATTGAGATGTATTGGAAATAGTTTAAAATTATTATCCCAAAGGGGAAGGGCTGATTTTAAGACATAAAACTATCTGGCCTCGACTCCAGCCATTCTACACATCATGAAGATACTTCTTCAACAAGGCTGACTCCTCTAAGCTGGAATTTTATCCCTCAGAGGAGCCACACACGGTCCTCACGCTTTCTTCTTGTTCTTGATTTGTAACATAACACTGACAGATCAGTGTAGATGAAACAGTAAGTCATTCATTGCTAAACCACTGCCAATGTAGTACTAGTACACTGAATTCAATAAAATGGTTCTATACTAAGAACAGGAACAAGGAAAATGTTTTGGGGATAACCACATATGATCTTATGAGTATGGAGAATAACATGCAATTAAAATCAGGAAAGTATTAGAATTCTTTTTATTTTCTATCAGTTTGGGGTAACTGTTTTTTCTAAAAATGTTCTCAAAACACAAACCATAATTTTTTAGTAATAATAATAAAAATAATTAATCATAATTATAAATTTAAAACTTTGAGAGCAACTATGTAAGTTAGAAAGGATAAAATGATGTAAGAAAGTTCTTTGTGAGGTACAAAATGGGATGTAAAAATAAAATTACTTTTAACTAAGCAAAGACAAACTTCACTAATATGCTTCTTCCTTTAATTACTATCTTAAGCTAAAATATTATAAATAGTAGGCTAATTAATAACTGGCTTTTTATTGGGGATATACTGTCATGTAATGTCAACACTGTACTTGTTTTCATTTCATATACTGGACATTACTTTACAAAGAGGAAAATTCAAAACTACCAAGTAATTATATTCCAACTTTAAAATTCAAGAAAAAGTCAGTTACCTATGCCAACATGCGCCTCTTGTATCATGCTTACGTCATTAGCACCGTCACCAACAGCCAGTGTTATCGGTTTCTCAGGGGAGACTTTTATTAGTCTTATTACCTGAAAAACATACAATGAGTTCTTTCTTTTGTGATTAAATTTCAATTTTCTTGTATTTGTGTAATGCCCTCTATCTGAAATCTTCTGTAATAGTATGGTGGTGAAGAAGACATTTAACTTCATGCTAGACAGTAACATGCAGTCAAGTTCACCTTTTGGAGGGGTATGGAGATTAGGGTTTAAGAATGTCTTTCAGAAATAGCCTAACAAAGTAGTTTTCTGCTTGGATTTTAGGAAGAGAAGAATTTTTTAAATGCATTCTAAAATTTTTATAAGACTAACAACTTATTTAAATAAATATACTCATTGTCAGACAAAATTCTCAAGAAAAAAATATTCTATTTGATAAAAAGACATATATTTATATAGTCTGATTAGCTAGACCTCAAGATTTAAGAAAATATAGTCAGTGAAATCAAAACAAGTTTATCTGGAATTTTTCTAAAAATACCTTTTAAACCTGTGTGTTTGAGGGGGAAGAGGGTATACACACGAGATGGTGAGTGTTTGCAGGTCAAAGGACAGCTCTGGGGAGCTGGTGCATTCCTTACACCTTTATGTGAGTCTCAAGTATGGAATCAAGGTCACCAGTCTGACTTGACAGTGCCTTTACCCACTGACCCTTGCTGTAGAATCCTTGGATGTGTTCTTACAAGAGCAGAGACATGTTTGTGCTCTAATTTTAATCTCCATGCGAAATTTCATAAATCTAAATAAGCCTGGATATCTGTATGAAAAATAACCAGTACTTTATTTTCACTGCTAAGAATATTATAATATATTTCTTTAAAAATTGTGTACTTTGTGTGTATGTATGTGTGTCTATGTATATGGGTACACATATAGAAGTCAAAGGAGGACTCATGGAAGTTTGTTCTTTCCTTCTTCCATGTGGGGCCTGAGGATGGAATCAGGTAGTCAGGCTTAGCAGCAGGTGTCTTTACCTGATGAACAAGAGATCTTGATGGCTTACTAAGAATGGTTTTTGAAGTAAAGAGTCTAAAACCTCAAGATATTCCAAAAATTTATAAAAATTGTCTGAGTAGGTTTTCAGTTGAATCCTAGGTACCTACAATTTAAGTATTTTTTTTGTATACAGTTTATTATGAGAAGATGATAAAAGTAAATTGGGTTTCAACTTTGCTTATTTATAACTTAATAGCTGTTGCCTCCTCTTCTTTTCTTCCCTCCCTCCCTCCCTCCCTCCCTCCCTCCCTCCCTCCTTCCCTTTCTTCTTGATAATTTGTTAGTTGAGGCTGACCTCAAACTTGCAGTTCTCTCACCTCAGCCTCTTGGATGCTAGGATTTACAGGTATGTGCCCCTATGTTGAGGATGATAACTTTTAATTAAGAATTATCTTGTTCTTTCTTTCCTTCCTTTCTTTACTCCTTCTCTCTCACTTCCTTCTTAAAGAGTACTTTTACCTCTAAATATGTTAATGAGACTTTTATGATCTATACTTACTTTTGCTTTCTGTAAAGGTGCCATGCGACAGCATAATACAGCGGAACAGTTTCTGCAAACTTCCATAAATAGCTTTTCATGTTCCCTGAGTGCAAGAGATAAGCTGGTCCCATCTACTACCAACCCATGCTGAATCACATGGTCCTCTGTAATTCTAGAAAAGAAAATAATCATCTATTTCATACTCTGAAGCCAGATTATTTACTTACTGAAAGATGGACAGTTCAACCAGACAACTATTGAATGACTTATGTATAAGTGAACAAACTCAGTTGTATTACCTGAAAGGTGAGATAAAATATAGCTTTTGTACCAAAAGAGAAATGAATACTACTAATGATTGTAACAAATTTACCAAAAGAACACATATAGAAGACCAAAAGAAAATATGCAAAAGTACAATTAGCAAGCTTTACATACTTGTATAGTATTGTCAACATTGTATCTTCCTTACAATTTTCAGTACTTTTAAGTGATACTGTTTTTTAAAATTTTTACATTTTATTTATTTATTGTGTGTATATCCGTGTATGCACACATGTAGAAGTCAAAGGACAACTTGAAAAAAATGGTTCACTTTTTCCATGTAGGTCTCAGGACTGAACTTGTGTAGTCAGGCTTAGTAACAGGCACATTTACTCAGTGAGCCAAGCTCACGAGTGCAACATAATTTTCAATAACCAATAAGTAATTTTAGAATATGCACATATATCTCAAACCATTTTGAGCAGCTAACTTGTTCCTGTAGTTATTCTTCTTATACATTAACTCACCACAATAGTATTCACATGCTCTCAAAATAGCACAATTTCAAGATGAAGTGCAAAGACTTGTCTAGAAATTACACTCTTAAAAATATCTCTTGGACTCTCTGCTTCATGGTGGCAGTGAAGGATGTGAGTTCTCAACTTTTCATTGCCTGCTGCCATGCAGTCTTTGACATTATAGACTCTAGGCCCCTGGAACTATACACCCAAAGAACCTTATTCTTCTATAAAGTACCTTGGTTATGATGTTTCATCATAGCAATAGTAAAACTAAAGAATACAAAAGCTGGTATAAGAAAGTGGGCTGTTGCTATGAATTGACTTTCTGGTTTGTTTGTAGGAATGTGGAAGACTATGGAATTCTGGACTAGAAAGCAATTCAATGCTGTCATCAGCACTCATAAGGCCATCCCAGCAGCAGCCTGGATGGTAGTGCTAAAAGCAAAGCAGACTAGAGAGGCATGGCTTAAGAAGTTTCAGAGGGAGGCAAGGACTTTAACAGTAATGGGGCTAGAGTCTATTCCTGTGATATTTTGGCAAGGAAACTGGCTGCCTTCTGTCTCTGTCCTAAGAACTTACCTGGGCGAAATTAAATTGAGAAAATGGAATTAAGTGGGAGGAATGTTGAGACTGCATAGCATTGATTTTGTGGTGTGCTTATTAGTGATAATGCTTATACAGATCTACAGTGAAGAAGAGCCATGCGGAGCAGAAAGAAGAAAAACAAAATGTAGAGTTTTGGAGAAAAACAGCATGAGGAAGCTTAATGTTATAGCCAAGTAAGAAAAGCTGTAATTGTTAAGGAGAACACTGCCTAACTCATTCTATGAGGAGGCCATGTTGTGCACAGGCCAGTGCTTTTGCATTTTGATGCTAAGTCTGCTCTCCTGGGAGGGGCTGCTGACAAGGAGTGAGTCACTTACTCAGGTGACTTCTTGTGAATAAGAAGCCAACTTGGCTCCTAATGAAAAAAGGAGGCAATCACTGTGTGAGTAGGAGAGACTTCTGGGTTGGAGACGGGAAGAGGCGAAGCAGGAGAGAGATAGGGTCTTTTTAGTTGGGGACTGTGAGGACAAAATGTAGCTACTAGTATCTCCTGGTTTCTATGGTGGATCTGCCAGTATTTGACACAAGAGGATTTAGATTTACTATAGCTACAAGACTAGGACTCTAGTTGTTGCACCCAGAGATTGAGTTATCATTGTTTCTGAACTAAGTCTGCGTGATGTTTTCCTTCCCATCACGTTGGTTCTACTGGGTTCCAGAGAGAAAAGTATGGCGGCAAAGCATGGGTTTGCCAGATGTGCACCAAAAAAGGCTGTGTGGGATTTGAAGCATGGAGCTAGGTAGGTAGCGACCCACCAGTGCGAACTTAGCGAGCTGGGTGGAGAGATTCTGGAGCTCTGAGTCTGAGTCTCTATGAGGCCAAGAGACCACCAGGGCTTCGGGAAATGGCCAATCTTTTTAAATATTTTTAAATAATTTTTAATATTTCCCACAACAAGGCCATAGTTACCCTGATTCCTAAGCCACACAAGGACTCAACACAATGGAATATTATTCAGCTATTAAAAACAGGGGCATCATGAATTTTGCAGGCAAATGGATGGAACTAGAAAACACCATCTTGAGTGAGGTAACCCAGACTCAAAGGACATGCATGGTATGCACTCACTGATAAGTGGACATTAGCCAAAAAGTACAGAATACCTAGGATACACTCCACAGAACCAAGGAAGTTAAACAAGAAGGAAGGGCCAAGTAAGGATGCTTGAATCATACTTACATCAGCAAACAAAATAGTCACAGGAGGCAGAGGGAGGGAGGAAATTAGGTCAGAGAGGGGATGTGAGAACGGGGGTGGGGAGCAGGATCAGGTGTGGGGAGAGACAGGTAACACAGAGGAGAGAACAAGAGGGCCAGGACAATGAACGGAAGGAAATATGAAGCTGCTGAAGAGGTCAGCTCAGGAACTTTGGAACACCTGTCCCTCCTAAAGGACATTATTTAACATTCCTCAGACAACAGGGGGGAACTAACCTGCATGTCGGGACAAATTCCACAGGATGAACCATTGGTCAACCACAGACAAGGTTAGTCCCTGCCACCTCATTCCCTAAGGACCAATCAGTTTAAAAGTTACACTGTTCGGCCAATCATATTGTGCCTAGTAGCTGTTTCTCTATGCTACCCCTGGAAACTGTATAAAGGTCTGCCAAACAAGCTGCCCGGGGTCACCACTTCTCCTTTGGGTGCAGGATGACCCCAACGCTTTTCATCAATTCTTGCCTCCCCTCACTCAGGGGGTCTCCAGTAAGCTAAGGCTTGACATAGTCTTACACTGCCAAGGGTGGGGGTTGGGTTAACCTCTAGGAAGTCCCAGAAACCTGGGATGGGGAAGGCTCCTAGGAGTCAATGCTGGTGACCTTAGCCAACATGCTTAACAGTGGGCACATGGAGCCTGAAGAAGCTACTTCCTATAGCTAGGCAGGAGCCCTCATTGGAGGACACCACAAAACTTTCAAAACAAAATTTATCCTGTCTAAAAGAAATGCAGGGACAATGATGGAGCCGAAACTGAAAGAACTGCCAACCAGTAACTGGCCCAATTTGAAACCCATCCCATGGGCAAGTGCAATCCCTGACATTATTAAGATACGGTTATGCTCGCAGACAGGAACCTAACATAACTGTCCTGTGAGAGGTTCTAAACAAAAGAGGACTAAAACAGATACAGATACCCACAGCCAAAGATTGGAAAGAGGTCTGGGACTCTTATGGAAGAGTTGAGGAAAGGACTGAAGGCCTGAAAGGAATAGAAACTCCACAAGAAGACCAACAGAGTCAACTAACCTGGACCCCTGGGAGCTCTCAGAGACTGAACCACCAACCGAAGAACATACACCAGTTGGAACAAGGTCCCCAGCACATATGTAGCAGATGTGCAGCTCAGTCTCCACATGGGTCCCCCAACAATGGAGCAGAGGCTCTTCCTAAAGCTGACTGTGGTTATCAGTTCCCCAACAGGGCTGCCTTGTCTGGCCTCAGAGGGAGAGGATGCACCAAGACTTGATGCACCAGGGTCAGGGGATACCTATGGGGGTCCCCACCCTCTCAGAAAAGGAGAGGGGAATGAATGGAGGAGGAACTATGGGAGGGAGATCCCGGGGGACAGCATTTGTGATGTGTATACACACACACACACACACACACACACACACACACACACACACACACA